GGTTCAAGTTAAGAATTTTTTAAGCAATAGTTATTATATAACTTAGAGATTATATAATAGTTTGTAATAGTTTATATAATGCATTTTGTTAATAAAAACCACAAAATCCCGAATTAAAAACAAAAAACAAAGCAAAAACCACACACACTGCTATCAAAATATGGTTGCCTCAGGGAACATCGAGCCCAGAGAACGACGACTTGTCATCAATTAAGGTCATACCAAAATGTTTCCAGATCAATTTCAGGTAAAGTCGCAAAGTTTGGAAACCTCCAAGGCAGACTTCCTTATTGCTCATTCCACGTGCAAGTTTGGCACGTGTAATATTACTTAAAAATTAAACAAATGAGGTTTTTAATGACTAAAGACGGCGAGGGCATTTTCCGCCACTTCTCCGTCTAAACGGGTTAAGCAACATTTAATTTTGCTAAGTCAAAAAACGGGTCATTTCCAAGTTGCCTTTTACCTCTGTCAAAAATGAGTCATCGTGCGAAATAATATATCAATGCGCTTCACTTCAAATTCATTTTCATTGAAATCTAACTCCTTTTGGAATTCGTTTTAAATAGAAACAAAGCAACTCCGATGTGGCCTATTGTGTGCGAGGCAGCTGTTGGTGCGTGACACGCAATTAGTATTTCAGTTTAGGTCGTTTCTGTTCGAAGTCCGATCCGGTGAAAAATCATATATTTTTCCTTTCTTGGCTGCTTTTTATTATTATTATTTCGTTTCCCCGCGTGTGTAACAAGAAACTTTCCACTGTGCCGTTTTCCAAATCTAAAAAGCTCACCTTATCGTATCGCGCATCCGATATCCGCATTCGTCTTTTCTTTTTTCTCCACAATAACACTTTAATTTCTCTTTTTGTTGTTGTTGTTGGTTTTTTTATGCTACAAACTGCTTCGCCTCAATCAGGCTTCAAGTAACTCAGCGTCGGTCTTGGTTCTGTTCTCGGTAGGACTGTTTCGCCTAAGCGTTGTTTCTCGAGCACGCCCTAGTCTCACTGCTGTTTAATTAAGAGGTCAGCAAAATGTTGTGCCACAAGTGACTCAGTTATATCTTGGTAAGTTTGTATAGTCTTACGATTTCGCCCACGGACTAGTTGGGGCCAGCGCGGGCAATAGGGACCTCATTCACAATTTCAAGGTTAGGGCAACACTTTACAAAACTTGTTAAGGCTGCACTTGTAATTAAAAGTTAAATTGATGACAAGCACGTAGATTTCGTGTAAACTTAACCCGGGTTTTGAAATCGTTTTTAGTTATCACTGATACTTGACTAATTAACCATTTCATGACAGTCTGAGATTGTGTCTAATGTGGACATTAGAGCGTGCGAATTCGCGTTCAGTTGTTATCGTACCATGCATATTTATATGTTAAGTTCAGAAAGCGTGGAAAATGTTTTTAAATTCTATCATATTTGCTAAAACAACATATGGAAGAACATAGATAAGAATGTTGCGAACTGCGGAAATACAAATGAAATGAGGATTTGACCATCGCAATACAAGCAGTACCTTATTTCGCCCCTCCAAAAAAGATTTTTAGGACATCAACGAGATTCGAACAGTCGAGCAAATACACGTACGAAATAAACGGTACCTCAAGGGAAAAAAAGTGTCGCTTCCCAACGTAACGAAAAGATTGCAACTTATTCGCGCGCAAACGGGGTTGAGGAAGTGTTTATTCATTCAACCCTGTTTGTTTTGAAAAACTCAACTCTTGTGCAGCTAAAACATAGGAAACGATGTTCAAAATTCGTGAAATTTTGCTAATGAAGTTTACCCTAAGTTTACTTAGTATTTACCGATATTGGTAAGTGGCGCAATGTGAAAAAGAGAGACATTGGACTTTAGTAGGTGTGTTCATGACTGTTTTTTGCATTAGCATAAACAATGCTTATTAGCATAGAATTATGGAAATTGTTGAATCACTCTAGGGGCTCGCTTGTGGCTACGTAATGGAACTTTTTCATAAATGACGGCCAATTGTAAATTCTTTTGTAAGTATTAAAATAAGCTTTACTAACCTCGTTTTTAAAGATGATTTCCAGTCCATACTGCGCACTCTCGAAAGTTTGTTTACGTTTTTTGTTTTGTTTCATGTAAGACATCACAAAATGTAAAATTCCGTAACTACTTACAAAAAGTAAATTCAAAGTTTCCAGTCAACCGCGATTATGGACGCGAAGCTGTATGTTTCGTGCTTCCTCATATCACTTGATGAAACAACTTCGCAGCTGTAAAAATCAATGAGGCTGTTGGAAAAAGAATTTGAAATTGAAAGACCTCAAAGATAAGGTACGTGGTTCGTAACGAATAACATCGATTCGCATTCCATCGAGTGAGACATTTTATGTTTATAAACATTAGGGTGCTGAGACTGCGCATTACGGACTGGAAAATCATCTTTAAACTGATAATTCAATTTTTTTTGTTCTTAAACAAGGTAAGCGACGCTAAGTTAAATGCGTTCAAAGGAATTTAAATAGGCCACGTTCGATATCTCAATATTCTAACATGGCTTTTAGGCTTTCATTACAAACTTCTGTATTTGGTGTTGTTTTCTTTGTGTCCAAGTTTCTTTTGTGAGTTGAGAGATAAAAGGAACTTAAAAGATTTACAATTTTGATCCGAAAGCCTCGGAGCCATGTCAGAATAATGATATATCGAACGCGGCCAATTGGCAGTCACTTAAGAAAACAGTCTATGATTTTGATGCGGCATTTTAACAGAAAAGTGAGTTTATTTACATAAAATAACGTCATAATTAAGCAGTGTATTTGGGTGAAATAAAACAACTTATTGTTCAGGTTAGGGAACCACTCATGCAAAATTTATTGAGCAATTAATATCTCACGAGCAGTGGACAATGTGTCTGCGATATACGCCTCCAACAACAAAAAACAAAAACAAAAAACAAAAATAAAAAACAACCAATCAGAAAACAAGAAATTTAGTAAATTGATTTATGCTCAATGCATGGTAGAGGATAGTGGCTCACACTCCCTTAAACAAGAATGAGGTGAAAAATGTGGTTATTTTGAACAATAAATTTGTTACAATTGCAGGCAAGTCAGTATTCTATCGATCGTGGGATGAAGCCGGAGTTAAATACGTAAAAGATCTGATAATTGAGGATGGAAATTTTTTGACACTTAATGTTTTCCAACATTCCTTCGGCATTAAAACACATTCTTTGCAGTTTTTAGGGCTTTTAAACGCAATTTCCTTACAATACTGACAAGTGCAACACTTGTTAAGGTTGACCTACAGTACAATAACGCAATTTCCTTGAGTTGAGTTCCTTGAGTTGAAAAAACAAACTCAAGAATAGCTATGAGGAAAACAAAACTAACGACTGCGAAAATAAGATTATTGATACACAAAATATTTCAAGTAAGACGCTTACACAAATACTGACAAAAAAGATTTTTGAGAAGCCCACGTCAGTGGGAAAGCTTGAAAAGACAGGTTTTTCTGCCCATGAAATTTCACATATTTGTGAGCTTCCTTTCAAACTAACGCTCGATGTGAGAATGTTAGTTTTTCAATTTAAGATTAACCACAACATTCTGTACACAAAAAGTAGACTCTTTAGAGATAAGATAACAGAGAACGACAAATTTTACTTTTGCAGTGGCAGTCAAACACTGACCCATCTCTTTGTTGAATGTGATTTTAGTAAAGTATTTTGGATCGATTTCACTTCTTGGTGGAATTGTAAATATAACATGCAAATCAAACACAAACAGCGTGATGTTCTATTTGCTTTTCATCCCGGAAAAGTCTTTTTTAGGTATTAACTACTGTTTGCTTGTGTCCAGAAATTACATCTATATTTCTGCAAAAAATAAAGACCCCTTCTGTTTTACATCCTGTCTAAAATTTTTAAAAAACAAGCTCGGGACAAACAAAAAGAAGATTCGAGGCCTTGTTACTCTTCAGAGCACTTTTGCTTTTGTTCGATTCTTGTGAGTGTTTGTTAGACCGTAATTCGTAAATCTTTTCAGTTAGCTGTTTTCACTAGTTGTAATTTCTTTTTGTGAGTTGTTACATTTTAAATTTATGTGTATTGTTTTTTTTTTTAATTGTGTTGTATGTTACCTTTTTTTCAGTAAATAAATAAGATAAAGGGCTAAATAATAAATAAATAAATAAATAAATAAATAAAAAAATTGATTTATCGATGTGTTCGGAAGCCGGGACATAGAAAGTCTGCATAAGAGCCAAGTGGCCAATCAGGCCGGAGCTCATCCCGGTCTCTGTAGCATGAAGCGACCAGGAGTATTTCTACTCCCCCTGGATGGGATGCTAGTCTATCGCAGGGTTACCCCCAGCATTACGTTTGTCGCTACCCATTTATACACCTGGGTAGGGAGAGACACTGTGAGAGTAAAGTGTTGTGCCCAAGAACAAAATGCAATGTCCCCAGCCAGGGCTTGAACCAGGACCGCTCGATCCGAAGGCGAGCGCACTGACCATGAGGCCACCAAGCCTCCCAAAATAAACAAGTACTATTCAACAATTTCAAGTCTCCACACACGCCATTGTGACTGTTGTGGAAATTTCAAAGCTTTTTGACAGGCATGAATTAAACTAATGTTGTTGCCGACATTTCCCATCACGACATTTCCCATTTGTTAAATGTGGATCAAGAAGTTTACATAAGCTCATCAGTAATTAAAGATAAATATACTGGACTTAAGATTTAATCGGCTAGACCAAAAAAAGCCACGCCCTTGGGCACTATGATAAGTTATCAAAGTTTGAATATTTCGAAAAAAGGATGATGGCATGTCAGTTTCTAGTAGATATAAATATGTTGGAACCTGCTCGTTAATTTAGATTCAAATATTGAGATAGTTTTGGCATTCCTTCCCTTGCAGGTTAAAAGAAAAGAGCGAGCAAAAAGCAGAGAAATAAAATGAAGAATCTTCTGCAGAAAAGTCTTTGGAGAGCATTTCTACTATACATTTATGCATTTCTTGGCGCATGCATGTTCTACTATCTTGAAAGGAAGCCTGAGAAAAATAAAGAGGTTTATTTCAGGCTTTCTCGAGAGCTTCAACAGAATTTTACAGCTCAGTATAACACTTCAATAAACGAAAGCGATTTTAAACGTTTTATGCAGAAGGCTTTTGAAGTTGTTAGAGTTGGAAACAAACCGGACTGGAGCATTCTTAGTGGTCTTAGCTTTTCGATGACAACGTTAGCGACAGTCGGTAAGTGGTATAACTAAGGAAAAGATCACTATTACTTCATGCTGTCTGGTAAATAAGATGGTTATTGCCTGGTTGGGATTGTAGGCGAATTCGAGGACAACGTCTAGTAAAATAAACAGCACGCAAAGCATGCAAAAGCGATGACGTTTGCCAAGGCCTTAGCTATCCTAGAAATAGCAAAACAAACTAAGGAATGTACAGTAGAAAGTAACTGAAAGCTTAGTAACTATAAGAATCGGCACAGCATATGTATGAAGTGAGAAGAACTGACAGGAGTGAAACGGGGTGAAGAAATGAGTGTGAGAACAGGGGAGTGATGAGGGTAAGAATAAAACCTCTCAGTTGGTTTTCTTTCATATATGAAAGTGACGTGACCAGACCAAAAACGGCAGTCATCCAAAGTTGAAATGTCACAACTTACATTTCTTGGTGATGTCAATAAATAAATCAAAGATGTTCTAAAGCAAGATGAAATGGGAAGGTGATCAAAAGTTTTTTTTAAAGGGAGGGGGGGGGTGAGGGGGTTGCACAATTATTCATTTTCATATTGAGACATCTTCTTTAAACACAGGGGAATATCTCAGTTGAATTCCTTAGATGACAAGGTTGATACTAAAATGAACGATCTCGTCACTGTATTTCTCCAGCTTTAAATGATTTTAAATTGGATGATATTTATCACAATTTCAAACAGATTAAATTGCAATAATACGTTACAATATGATAAACAGCGAAGAGAGGCTCCCTCATGTGTAGGCTCGATTATGTTAAAAATGCAAACCAGAATGTAATAAATTTTTAGCTCTATGATCAATATCTCACTGTATATACACCACCATAGGTCAGATCCAATTACTTTCGTATTGCTACCGGAAGTGTAACACTTGCATTCTGTTTGCTTTACATTTTATTTTTAGCATGAGAGTAGCCTAAACTTTGAAGCAATACGCGAATTACCTGGAATTTATTCTCGCTGACTGGTTTTCGATTCCTCTGATATCAGAATCATTTCATTCCATGCAATAAAGCAAAAAACAAACACACAAACACACAAAAACAAAAGCGAACAAAAATAAAACAAAACAACAACAACAACAACAACAACAACAGATTTAAGCTTAAAATTGTCTTAAATACAGAGCCGCGTAAACGTTCCTGAACTGGAAGACGTGGAATTTGAAACTTTGACAATCTGTTTAAGAAAAAACCCTTTTGATAAAACTAGATGCAAGTATAACTTAAGCCGATAAACTTGAGCCGATTAAAAACCATCATATAATGCACACTTTCCAAGAGAAAGCAAACAGATACAATTTATCAAAAATTAATTGTCAATAAGGGTCGAATCGGGCCACATTGAACCTTGCTAGTAAAATTAATGGAAGTTAAAATGCATCCTGTCTTCTTGGTCTAGCGTTACGCTTGCTTTACAGTTTTTGGTTTGGCAGTGGATTTTTTCGCGCTAGACGAAAGACACGAGGCAGCCCAGGCATGGGTCTTTGATTGTACGTTGTAGATAACTTTACACTTAAGGAATTTACATTTCGTTCGCACCCTCATCAAATTTTATTTTAGTCACGAGACCGTGAATGTCCTTCTTTTTGTCTTCTCAGGAATTTAATTACCCATTTGTATCTAAATGTTCTTCCGTAAAATTAGTTCGCTAGAACGAGAAACCGTCGCTATTTCGCAGACGACCTCCAGCCACTACAACTATTGGCTGATATTATACTAGTAGCTCAGCCAATCAGACTGCAGCATTTGCATCAGTATACTGGTAAAATTCTACTAATTTTGAATATGTGAAGTAAGGCCAATAAGTTTAGCCATTTCAGTGTCCTACAATGAGAATAAAAGAGCGTTTCAATGAAAATCATAATTATAAGTTACTTAATAATGTTGTGCTTTTATTACCAAAATAATTACCCCATTTTCTAATATGCCACAACCCCGTCACCCTCAGTAAACTACAGAGAACATGACTAGTGTATCGATAGTTCTTGTTTCCTGATACATTCGTAACTCAAATATCTAACACTTCAAAATAATTGTGATTACACTCTTTTATTATTGTATTCTCTATATTATTTCAGTTATCAGTTTTTGGCTTTGAAAATGAATCCTTTACGGTTAAAAAATGAATCATTCACGGTAAAACCCCTAAAATACCATAGTATAAATGAAAGTTGGAGCGAAATAAAGATTTCAGACAGATCACGTTTTTCACCTCGTCAACAATCTGCGGTTGGTTTCCTCTCGATCTCAACAACTGCAGCACTGACCATCTCAACAACCCCTATCGCTCGAGCTTGTGTTGATTTGCATGCTGATTTTTTTTTTTTTAATTTTGTGGATCGAATGGGTTTGTTGGCAAGCTCAGTTTTATCGGATAAAGTATAACTAACCGAGACTTCAATCTTCCGTCTCTATTAAACAGCCGGCTATGAATTAAACATACTTTCCCAGGCATTCAATACTTGCAAAACAAAGATGGCGGATCGCAAAATGACCTTATTTCTATGTGTCTAGTTCCCAGTGCTCTTCGGTTTGAAAGGATAGATCGCGCCTGACACACTCTTACATCGGCGACAGCATTAAGCGATGACGAATGACGTCATCGCTCAAAAAGGATTGAATTATATATTATCTTCGAATGTCGCAATTGTCTAGATGAGTAGAGTGAGCCTTTTGTTCTAAAAGTTTGTTCAGGCTAAATGTACACGAGAGCGTTCAGTTCCAAAAGAAGATACAGGGAAAAAAATATTACTCGCAGTGCACGTTCTCCAAATACGGAGAACTTGGCCATTTTACGTTGTTGTCTCGCAGATGACGGCAAAGAAATGTGTAAAGATTTATAACGCACGTGCATAGCCACCCACTTCTATTCTAGTTCTTACCTCTAATTTCGTTTTTCTTGCAATTTGACTTTGTATGTTTCGCTGTAAGAAAGGCAAAATAATAAAATCAACAGAAGTGCAAAGTAATTCCAGAAAGGAAAGCCTGGAATAGAGATGTCTCAATTGCTATCAGATTGACATCAGTATGGTGTCTGTACCCTATTTGACGATATTCTTATTGTCGTGTCCCTATTTTGCAGGTTATGGCCATATTACACCAGAAACTCCACTCGGCCAACTTCTTACAGTGCTATATTGCTTTGTTGGTCTGCCCATATCAATGCTGACCCTAAAAACATTTGGAGAACTCCTTTCTAAAATGGTTAACAATTTCATTCACATGTTGGAGACAAAGGTACTTGGCGGGAGAAGACCTCGAAGGGTTAAAATGAAAAGCTTTTTCACTATCCTGACGTTGATGGTTTTGACTTTATGTGCCTTTGGACTGAAACAGAGTTACATGGAGGGCTGGACTTTTATAGAAGGTGTTTACGCATGGTTTGTCACACTGTCCACCATTGGGTATGGTGACTACGTTCCTAACTGGGGCTTGCTATTACGATGTGAGGAATCTCTACATTCCAAGATAACTCTTGGGTTGGTGATTTCTGCGTCAGCTCTGCCTGCTATGGTAGCACTCTCTGTGGTCTCTGGGGTCCATAACTCAGTTGTGGAGGCCCTTGAAGAATTAAGAATTAATTCTCAGGATCACCAGCAATGTCCCGGACACGAAAATGACCGATTTGAATTTGAACCGGTGATCATCGTTGTCCCAAATCCAACAATAACTAACAAAAATCAAAGACGGCGATCAGCTTCTTTCTGAAAAGTGAGGTGTAACGAAGTTCCTACTTTATATTTTATCTCGAACGTTGTAAACAACGAGCTGTTAACAGCAAACCAAAAGTCAAGATACAAAGCATGTTTGGCCCGACCTTCTAGGACCGGGGCGTTGGGAGGTTTCTTTGGGGGGGAGGGGGAGGAAGATTATTTTGACCTTAGTCGTTGAGACTATTTATGTTATGGAATAGCACGCGTCTTGTTATCTTCAACTGTGTTATTTTATTTTGCGAAGAATACAGATCCACCTTTCCGTCAGATAGAGATGACAAGATCTCTTGTTGTCATTGTGATAGTGGTGTCAAGGTTGAAGATGAAACTCATTTCCTGTTTCATTGTCGAAAATATCTATTCATTAGTGATAGCTTTTTGAGTAAAAAAGGTAAAATTTTACAAATTTACTAATTTAAGTTACTAGTAGTTATTATATATTATAGGTGAAAATATCCGACCTATAATTGATGCCATGCAATATACTAAGGTGCAAAACATTCCCGGTTTCTTGGTATCCCTGGAATTCCATAAAGCATTGAATCCCTCGAATGGCCTTTTATAACGAGAACATTAGACATCTTCAATTTTGAAACGAGTTTTACAAAATGGGTTAGCACCTTTTATACGAACATCGAGAGCGCTGCATTAAACAATGTTTTTTTTTTTAAACAAAATGGTTCAGACCGTCTACCGACCGTCTACAGACCGTCCCCGTATCTTTTCATCATCCTCACAGCAGAGATAATGTCTACCAAACTTCGACAAGCACCAAGCATCAAAGGGATCAAAATATTAGGAAAAGAATTGAAATTAAGCCGATACGCGTAGATGATACAAATCTGTGCCTACTTGACCTTGGAAGTAGTTTAAAATTTTGGTTCTCTAGCGGGTTTAAAATTGAACCGCTTTAGCTGGAAATGTGAAAAAAAAAATTAACAAATAAATAAAAAAAATAAAAGCAATCCTTCAAAATTAAAATGGTTGCAAAGTCCAGTCAAAATCTTAGGTATCTATGTATCATACGATGAGAATGGAAATAAGCAAATGAAATTCAACCTTAAATTACAATACTTGCAAACCGATCTGGATATATGGAGTGCACCTGATCTTACACTATTTGGGAGAGTACTTATAATAAAATCCTTGGGTCTATATCACCACTCGTTTATTCAGCTTCAAATCTCAATGTTCCTCAAGAAAGAACGCCGATACATAAGACAAAACTGTTTAACTTCGAGTCCTATGGAAAAATAAAAGAGACAAAATCAAAAGAGCCGGACTTTATCAAGGAGGCATACATATGACAGACGTAGAAACTATGATTAAAGCTCTGACGCTAGCTTGGATTCCAAGACTTTTGATCCCAGAAATAAGGACTGGAAAACGGTTCCAGATTATTACCTAAGAAAATTTGGAGGTTTGAACTTTCTATAAAGATGTAACTATGACGTAAAATACATAGACGGTTTGCCGTCGTTTTACAAAAGTGTTTTTACATCTTCCAACGAATTAAAAAATCGCAACAGCTATACGACAGAGTACAGGATATGGTATTATTCAATAACAAAGAAAAAGAAAAGAAAGAATTTCGTTGGAGGAAAACCAGTTTTCATTAGAGAATGGTTTGACAGTCTATCCAGGATCAGCTGAACAGCAATGGTTAGTTCTTGCCTTTTCAAGAATTTAAGAACAAATATGCCTGCAAAACGATTTTTCTCTAATCTTATCAAGTTACAGTGCAGTTCCAAAATATTTAGCAATCCAAGCAAAGAACACAGAACCACTGGAAAACGAACTATACACAGGAGATAACTTCCTGTTCCAGTTAGGCGACTCTACACAAATGCAACTGGAAAAAGCTAAAATTAGGGACTTCTACGGGTTAATAATCCGTAAAACTCGCATGGTCAGCCAGACTGGCCCATTGAAATGAAAAAAAAAACAACGAAAAAAAACAATAACACTAGATGGACTGCCTAGAAGAAAATTTTCACCTCCCTAAAAACCATCTACAAGGAAACAAAATTGAAGGAATTCCAGTTTAAATTAATTCATAGAATTGTAGTTTCCAAGAAGGAGCTTTATCGATATGGTATTAAAATGGACGATAAATGTCTCTAATGTGGTGAGAATGGCTCAACTGATAATACATTTATTAACTGTCAATTTGTAAAGACGTTTGAAAACAACGTAATTGACTGGTTTAGCGCCACGAACATGTACTAGTCAAAATCCTTGCTAACAATTAAAGATAAACTATTTGGTATCATATCTGGCACATACGAAAAAGAAATATTAAATAAATTTCTTTACACGATCCTATTTATGAAATACTACATCTACACTAGTAAGATGCATAACCAAGCGATTTCTACCTTTATATATTTGTTAAAAAAGTTTTATTTGTTTTTTTTCCTCACAAAAGTGTTCGATCCAGGCGCACGACTATATGAATACAATGCAATGCCGTACATGAAATAGGTTAAGTTTTGTATATACGAGAGTAATAAACGTGGAGTAAATGTTAATGTTAATGATGTGGAGTAAATAAAATAGTTATAATTAAGTAATGTGCAAGATAATTGTAGCCACTGTGATGTAAAATATTAATGACAAAAAGCAATGGTTAAGCGATCTATGAGATAAATGATGTAAGTACTAGTAGTGCAGGTGAGAAAACAAATAAAGTTTATGATATTAAAAAATATATTAATGAAACAGGAATTATGCATTTAATGAACTACACTCATTAGTTCATTAGCGCGCAGTTTGTGCAGTACATCATCCTGCTTTGCTACTCGTATCTATAACAAAATTCTCGATCCTGATTGGTTCTAAGCGCGCCTATTTGTCACGTAATCGGCGCGCAATCACGTGGGTGTCCAATTAAAGTATCCAACTTGAACTTTTTGTGACTGAACACAGGGTGTTATAGCAATACGACTGAATTTACACATATACAAGTGAGAGAAGGAGACAAAAAAAAAAATCGTTTTCTAGTGTGCAGTGAAAAATGTTCTCAAAAGTGTGAATTTGTACAAAACCCGCAGGCCTAATTTGAAAATCGTGCCTTGTAATTGAATTTTTCTTGTCATGTCAGTCCTGCTGTGTTAGCAGTCATTACTTTGGACACCATGTTGTTGTATGAAATAAGAGAGCCCTTAATCCTTTACGCCGAGGCCCGGTGGCATCATGATTAGTGTGCTCGTCTTCGGATCAAGCTGGCCGGGTTCGAGCCCTGGCTGGGGACCTTGTGTTGCGTTCTTGGGCAAGACACTTTACTCTCACAGTGCTTCTCTCCACTTAGGTGTATAAATTGGTGCCGGCGAATTCAATTCAATGGGGTAACCCTGCAATGGACTAACATTCCATCCAGGGGGGAGTAGAAGTACTCCTGGTCCCTTAATGTTGCAGAAGCTGGAGACCCGACCTGATGGGTCACTTGGCTCGTATCCAGACTTTCCCTCTCCTTTAATTATTTACGAGGTACTTCCTTCTACAGCATGGTAGGAAATTATTATAAACATATGTTACTTCCACCAGACTGGCTCGTCAAAATGTGACAGGAACATTTTTTGCCGACATTGTGGGAAAGCGCAAAATGNAACAACAACAACAACAACAACAGATTTAAGCTTAAAATTGTCTTAAATACAGAGCCGCGTAAACGTTCCTGAACTGGAAGACGTGGAATTTGAAACTTTGACAATCTGTTTAAGAAAAAACCCTTTTGATAAAACTAGATGCAAGTATAACTTAAGCCGATAAACTTGAGCCGATTAAAAACCATCATATAATGCACACTTTCCAAGAGAAAGCAAACAGATACAATTTATCAAAAATTAATTGTCAATAAGGGTCGAATCGGGCCACATTGAACCTTGCTAGTAAAATTAATGGAAGTTAAAATGCATCCTGTCTTCTTGGTCTAGCGTTACGCTTGCTTTACAGTTTTTGGTTTGGCAGTGGATTTTTTCGCGCTAGACGAAAGACACGAGGCAGCCCAGGCATGGGTCTTTGATTGTACGTTGTAGATAACTTTACACTTAAGGAATTTACATTTCGTTCGCACCCTCGTCAAATTTTATTTTAGTCACGAGACCGTGAATGTCCTTCTTTTTGTCTTCTCAGGAATTTAATTACCCATTTGTATCTAAATGTTCTTCAGTAAAATTAGTTCGCTAGAACGAGAAACCGTCGCTATTTCGCAGACGACCTCCAGCCACTACAACTATTGGCTGATATTATACTAGTAGCTCAGCCAATCAGACTGCAGCATTTGCATCAGTATACTGGTAAAATTCTACTAATTTTGAATATGTGAAGTAAGGCCAATAAGTTTAGCCATTTCAGTGTCCTACAATGAGAATAAAAGAGCGTTTCAATGAAAATCATAATTATAAGTTACTTAATAATGTTGTGCTTTTATTACCAAAATAATTACCCCATTTTCTAATATGCCACAACCCCGTCACCCTCAGTAAACTACAGAGAACATGACTAGTGTATCGATAGTTCTTGTTTCCTGATACATTCGTAACTCAAATATCTAACACTTCAAAATAATTGTGATTACACTCTTTTATTATTGTATTCTCTATATTATTTCAGTTATCAGTTTTTGGCTTTGAAAATGAATCCTTTACGGTTAAAAAATGAATCATTCACGGTAAAACCCCTAAAATACCATAGTATAAATGAAAGTTGGAGCGAAATAAAGATTTCAGACAGATCACGTTTTTCACCTCGTCAACAATCTGCGGTTGGTTTCCTCTCGATCTCAACAACTGCAGCACTGACCATCTCAACAACCCCTATCGCTCGAGCTTGTGTTGATTTGCATGCTGATTTTTTTTTTTTTAATTTTGTGGATCGAATGGGTTTGTTGGCAAGCTCAGTTTTATCGGATAAAGTATAACTAACCGAGACTTCAATCTTCCGTCTCTATTAAACAGCCGGCTATGAATTAAACATACTTTCCCAGGCATTCAA